CACACACACACACACACACACACACACACACACCACACACCCACAGATAGTGATGTTATGGAAGTGATTCATAAAACGTTGCATTTTAGGCGAGATTGATTGATTGATTGATTGATTGATTGATTGATTGATTTCTCAGTCCAGACTCTGATACATTACACCTCGTCTGTCAGTTCTGCAGATTCACCATCACGTTAGTTTCCTCCTTCGCTGTGTCTGTGTCTGTGATTTGACGAGCTGATTATCTCTGTGTTGTGTTGTGTTGTGTTGTGTTGTGTTGTGTGTGTTGTGTGTGTTGTGTTGTGTTGTGTGTGTTGTGTTGTGTGTGTTGTGTGTGTTGTGTTGTGTGTGTTGTGTGTGTTTGTTGTTGTGGTTGTGTGTGTTGTGTTTTGTTTGTGTTGTGTGTGTTGTGTTGTGTTGTGGGTGTGTTGTGTTGTGTTGTGTTGTGGTGTTGTGTGTGTTGTGTGTTGTGTTGTTGTGTGTTGTTTGTGTTGTGGTTGTTGTTGTGTGGTGTTGTGTTGTGTGTGTTGTGTTGTGTTGTTGTTGGTGTTGTTGTGTTGTTGGTTGTGTTTGTGTTGTGTTGTGTTGTGCTGGTGTGTGTTGTGTTGTGTTGTGTGGTGTTGTGTTTGTGTTGTGTGTGTTGGTGTTGTGTGATGTTTGTGTTGTGTGTGTTGTGTGTTGGTGTTGTGTGTGTTGTGGTGTCGTTGTGTTGTGTTTGTGTTGTGTTGTGTTGTGTGTGTTGTGTGTGGTTTGTGTTGTGTGTTGTGTGTGTGTGTTGTTTGTGCTTGTGTGTGTTGTGTTGTGTTGTGTGTGTTGTGTGTGTTGTGTTGTGTGTGTTGTGTTGTGTTGTGTGTGTTGTGTGTGTTGTGTTGTGTGTGTTGTGTTGTGTGTGTTGTGTTGTGTTGTGTTGTGTGTGTTGTGTGATCAGGGCCCGCGTGAACTGCCCTCACCACTTCTACCTGTCCGTGAAAGACGTGGATGGGGACAAGGTGCGCTGTCGCTTCGCCCGGCCCGACCAGGGAGAGTGTCTCGGCTGCGCTCGGCACTCCTTCATAGAGCTGGAGGAGGTCAGTCCAGAGCCAGTATTTCCTGAAGCAGAACACATGATAACAACACAGTGATTTAAACTTGAAAAAGTTTCTACATTAACAACTAAACTTTCTTTTCTTTCTTTTCTTCTTTTTTATTTTAGAAAAATGTTTTTTAAAAAGATGATTATGAAGATTATGAGTCATGAAAAGGTTAAAAGTAGAAAATCTGAAAATCCAGCTTCATCTCCTGCTGGAAATATAGTTCAGTAAAAAAATACTGCAGGCGTATTTCATTTACTTATATAAAAGTACTCATTATGCAAAATGTCCAAATTCGTAGTGTTATGTTATTTTCTATGTGTATCCTTCATTATTGCGTTATCATTGTTAAATTGTGCTGTTGTAGTTGAACTATGATTCAGATGCAGTTCTGCACTTTAGTCACAAAACCAGTCGTCACATTTCAGAAGCCGAGCACATGATTTGTGTGTAAAATCTTTATCTGCAGAGTAACCGGTGACTCTGGCTGTCAGATGAATGTCTGACTCACTGAGCACTTTATTAGGAACACCGGCCTCCCTTCGCTCTCTGAACAGCCTCAGGTCTTCCTTTCACGGATTCCATAGGATGATGGAAACATGCCTTCGGTGCTGTCCTGATGTTGACATGACGACATCACGTCACGTCACATCAGCGGGTCTGTCAGCTGCACGTTCTTGCTGCCACCCGCCTGTTCTACCACATCCCGGAGGGGCTGACTGGAGTCGTTTCATGAATTTGCCCTGGGGGGTAAATAAAGTATTTATCTATCTACAGAACCAGGCTGAGAGGACTTTTAGATTTATGACACGTCTGCGCGGGAAGTTGCCTTTAGAAGATGGTAAAGTGTGGCCATAAAGATAAACTCAGACAGGCTGTGGTATTCAACCCGTGATTTGTATTAAGGGACTCGTTGTGTGTGAAATAACCAGGAGATCAGCAGCTCCAGAAACACTCAAAGAGTCCCAGGCAGTCTCTGAGATCACAGCTTTTCCTCCCACTGATGTGACAGTAACTGAAGCTCCCGCTCTGACTCTGCATGTTTCTTTCTGCGCTGCTGCCACATGATTGGCTGATTGCACGAATCAGCAGGTGTTCCTAATGAAGTGCTCGGTGAGTCTGTAAAGCCGCATTAAACTGAAATAGTCAAAGTACATAGCGACATTATCCGAGCAGCTCCGGATGTCACTGTGTGGAGCGTCGGAGCGGAACAGAAACTTCCCCTGACCTCAAGAGATTGCAATGTGCTCAGCTGCCTCAGAGACGGAGGAGGATGAGATCAGCAACCTGCAGGTTCGATCCCCGGCTCCTCCGCTCTGCTTGTCAAAGTGCCCTTGGGCAAGAGACTGAACCCTGAACCCCTCCGTCGCCCCTGATGGCTGTTCCGTCAGTGTATGAATGAGTGAAAGTGGGAGGTATTGTAAAATAAATAAAGCACTTCGAGTTCGAGCTGAGCGATTCGTCTCGTTTTATTTTCGATTACAATTTTGGCTTCTAACGATTATGAAAACAAGAGAATCCAGACAAAACGATTCACTTCCTGGTTACGGTTCAGCGTTCGTCAGCAGCGCTCGCGGGAGTGTGTCTCTTACTGTCACTCCGTTTTACAGTCCACTCCTCAGACGTTTGTTCTTCCACCTGAGGCCGCACAGCTGCACAGCCTGACACACACACCGCCTTCTGTTGGAACTCTTTCCCCAGGAGAAATGTATGTTGACATTCACCGGAAAAGCCCCGGCAGGGCGGTACTTCATCCACCTGATGGCCGAGGACCACATCCCTGTGCCCAAGACGGTCCACATCACAGACACCTCTCCCCTCAGCTCCGTCCCTGTGCACCTGTCTCTCACCGGTGAGGCTGTCAATCACGTGTTACACATTAATGCTGTTTGTGTATGATTAATAACCGTGGGCCAAACATATAGACATACAGGATACCGTTGTAGTCAGCTCCTCTCCCGCCCTCTGACAGCATCTGAACATGTTCTCCTTCCCTCCAGTGGAGGAGTCGACTTCCAGCTGCAGCGACGAACCTGTGGCGACAGGTGAGACGCCCACAGAGGACTCCACGCTGTTCGTCCTGCCGTACCAGGAGGTGAAGCTCGACGTCAACTTCATGTCACAGCTGGAGAGGTGCGTCCCGCGTGTCCTTCGCAACACAATGTATTGATCCAGTGGCACGTGCCGGTCCACAACAGCAACCAACGCATCACGGTGTATCTTCCTCAAGGATGTCTTTAATCATCATTTTTATCTTCAGTTATTCTGCCCTGATTCATTTTCTCAGTTCATCAGTTCGCCAATAAAATGTCAGAAAAACTAGTTGTGTTGAGTTCTGTTTGTCTCTGTGTCTGCAGTGTGTCAGAGGTGGCAGTGGTCGGCCCCCCTGAGCTCCACAGGACCGGCTTCAAGTCAGTCGGCCCCCTGTCAGCTCTGAGCATGGCCTGGGTCCGCTCCCAAAACAACCTGACCCGCCTTCTGCCCATCTGCTTTGCTGCAAATACCCAGAGGTAATATACTGCATACTATAATTTAGTTAGCAGTAATCAGTTCCTCTGTTGTTCCTAAACTAGTGGTGTTAAGTGAACTGGAATTGCTCATTAACTGATTTAACCAACGGCCCTGGAGTTTATATTCATAGAGCAAGTCTGTGCTGCTCGTTCTCACCTTTAACTTTCAACTTGACTCTCAAAAGTCGACAGCAACACAAGTTTCTTGCTCTTACGTACAGTAAATATATATTACAATATACAAGTATGCCAACATGTTGTAGCTACAGGTTACAGTTGTAACCACTTCCTTTCACTTTCAGTTGTTACTCAGTCTTGTGCACAGAGACACAGATGTGCAGACACACACAGGTACACATCATGTACATGTATTTTGTACATAATGTATCTATACACATCTAGGATATGTGACAACAGTAACCGCAGAATGTTGTTGATCACAGTATACGATTCACAGACACACCTGCTTGTCCTGCCAGTCGAGTGTTCATATCTTGAACAAAGGTCTGATTTGTACTTCCTGTCTTTCCAGTTTGCAGTCGGAGCCCAGATGCGTGTGGCTGTACCAAAGTAAGACTTTCAGCTTTGGAGAAATGCCATAAGAATTCCAGTTATGCTTCACTGTAGCTCACAATACACCACTCCCCGCCTCACAGCAGGGCTCCTCAGAAATATTAACTATCTACTATTGAAACTCGTCTCTCTTCTGTTTGGGTTTTTTCAGGGGAAATGAGGACGCTCCCCGCTGGAACAGGTGAAGAACACATTACACTCTGTTATGTTGAACGTTGTGTTGTGAGTGTGAGAGCAGAGGAAGAATAAGAATCTGCTGGTGTCTGCCCGCAGAGCTGAAGTGTGAGAAGACAGAGATGAGTCTGGTGCTTCCTGTCGCCTCCCTGAGCAACATCAAGCTGGACGAGCTGCAGCTCAACAGCCCCACCTGTCCTGTCAGCTACAACAACACACACCTGACGGCCCGCATCTCTCTGAGCAGCTGCGGCACCAAGACTGTGGTAACAAGCACCACGTGGCTTTCTTTCATTTTACTTCCTTCCTTCCTTCCTTCCTTCCTTCCTTCCTTCCTTCCGTCCTTCTGTCCTTTGGGTTTCACATAAAACTGTGTTTATGATGTTAAAGTGCTGACTAGCGCAGCTTTTTAAGGATGTTTGGTGTGTTCACGTCCAGATGAGCAGAGCAGCTTTTTTTTAGCCCTGATGGATGAAAAGTTTATAAAAAGCTCATTTTTTGACGATCATATTATGGACTGATCGTTACAGCTCTGATTGGACGCAGCTGTAAACACACGTACATTAAGGATCATAAATCGAGCTCCCAGTGCAGTGACACAAAACCGACAACGGGACGAGTGTGTTGCATTCACATGTCGCAATAAAAAAAGAGAAAAGGAAAAGATACTGCCAGTTACAGGCTATTTCATCCCAAAATGTAAAAGACTCAGTAAAACATAATTACTTTCATTACTTTGTAGTTTATAACTTCCTGTCTCCGTCTGCTGTATAAGCTGTGTTAAAGAGTAAATGAACACCACCTGAATATCTTGTCTCTGCCGACCTCAGGTGGTTTGACCTCCTCTTGTACAGGTGTGCTCCGGGACACTGTTGGGTGGTTACAGGTGCATCAGAGCACGTTTCTGACCGCACCTGAGGTGAAACAGACCGGAGAGGGTCGTAAAATACCACCTTCCAGTCTGGTGTGAAGTTACTCGTTTAACCTTCATCCTCTCCTGTTTTCCAGCACTCTGGCTCAGAGCTCGTTTACACCAATACCTTGCAAAGTGTGCGTCCCTACACCGTGGTGAGCCGCCAGCCCTCCCTCATCCTCCCTCTGGCCTGCCGGATCCCCGGAGCACAGGTCAAGGGACCGCAGTACAAGATCAACATGCCCACTGAGAAGGAGACCTTCGGTGAGGTCACCTTCTGGATAGAATTCCACCTTCCAGGAGAGGGACCCCTCGCAAGATTCACACGCATCCCCAGGTTACGCTCCGTCTACATCCCGCCAGTGCAAATGCGTCGAGTGGTGCGATCACCATCGGAGAGCAACAGCATCTTCGCCGGCTCCACTAACAGCACCTCTTCCAGCGGGGGCGTTGGGTCCAGGATCAAACAGCTGGACCTCCATGTGTTTTCCAACTGCAGCGTGGACCGAGCCGAGCTGGTGGTGAGCAACTGTCTTGAGTCTGAGACGGAGGACTTCGCAGTAAGCAGCCCCATCCTGGAGCAAGGGTCAGTGACAATCCACTAGCTTTTGCTGAAGTTTTGAAAAAGACAGATACTGCACCAAAGAAATATTGACTCTGTTTGCGGCTGCAGACGTCGTGTCGTCATATCATTCTTTTCTCTTTCAGGTGTGCCACTTCCAACAGCACATTGGAGGTCATTTTAACACAAAGCAACTCCAAGATTTACCGCCTCGATTTGAGCAAACTGGAGGCCAAGGGATCGACGGTCCGTACTCTCATGCAACACACGTAACACAGTGTCCTCAAGTAGAAAATCTATTTTACATACAGACTTTTGTGGTGAATGGTTCTTTTTGAATCGAGTATAAGATTTCATGCGAGTATAAGACACTCTTGTAGACCAAGGCGATACTCGGTACACTCATTACATTTTGGGGGTTAAAAAAGTTCAAGGTCAGTGTGACCTCACAAAACCCTTTTTAGCCATTACTCAAAACTTCACACAGAAATTATGACAAAGTTTCACACAAATGGTTCATATTTTCTGTGACTGTGAATAAACAGGGATGTAACTCTGGAACTAGTCTGAGTGGCGGAGGGATACGACCACGAGGAGGTGACTCTAGCAGAGGTCCATGGATGATGCTGACTGTAGCGATTCCCTAACTTTTCCTCTTGTGTTAGCATGAAGTAGATTTTTGTGGTTTTTGAGTGAAATGTCTCGACAGCTACATTTATGACACTTAATTGTCGTAACTTTGATGATCCCTTTATTTTTCACCAAGAGTGATCATCAGCTAAAAACATCAATTTCTTCAATACTTAGGTTTATAACCAAATAACTGCAAGATTAATGAGATTCCCATCAGCATCAGCTTCACCATGTGGAGATTTCCAGTGTTTCAAGTTCCATCTTGTCTTATAAATTGTCATGTGTTGAACTTGTGAAATGTTTTTGAGCTGTCTTGACTTTGTGTTCTGCAGATGTACGTCCAGTGCACGGTCAACCTGTGCATCGCCACCATGCCTTCTCAGAAGTGCCCCGATCTGTGCACCCGCTCCATTAATCACAGAATGCTGGTGAACAGCGTTTTTACTAAAACCTACACCATCCGCTCAGGACCCGTCAGCCTCGTTGTCACGGAGTCTGCACCGCCCACAACCGCCAACACCGCCAACACCGCCACGACCGCCACGACCGCCACAACCGCCACGACCGCCACGACCGCCACGACATCAACTACGACTACTGCTACTACTTCTGTTACAAATACCTCAGCCGCCCAGAACGCCACCACCTCCCATGGTAAAATGTTATCTTTAAACAAGCTAACTCTCACAATGACACCAGTCTACTGACCTGTGACAATCACTGTTAACTGCAAAGTGAATTCAGGTTTGCAGCAAGCAAAACCATTTTCTTTATCTTTGAAGTTTTCTGTGATTGTTGTTTTATTTTGAAGGAAAATAATGAGCACAGGCTGATATTTATATATTAAGCTGTTTGATATTAATTATCAACTGTGTAGCTGGTTGGAGGCACAAACTAAACTAAATAACTGTTTGGGGACTCACAAATTAAAAATGTGTATTTCAGGGTCAACTTTTAGTATTTATGATTATATTACTTGTATATTACTTTTATCTTATTTTTTAATTTCTGTGACACTTTGAAGTTTAAAATGTACATACACAAACACACAACTGTAACCTCTCCTCTCTCCTCTCGCAGCTCCACAACAGGCCTCATCCGTGGCAGCAGGAGTGATTTTAACAACCGTCGGCGTATTCCTTCAAAATGTCTTTCTTTACTGAACATGCTCCTGCAGGATGACCTGTCACAGTGTGAAGCACTACATTTGCCTGCTTGGGGTATTTGAAGATTTAATTCCTCACATGTTGTTTTCCCCCATGATTCTGCTGTGTGCGTTAAGCTTTCAAATAAAAACCACACGTCGCTGTCAACAAATGATTTGCTGCACTGCGCACAGTGAACCTTCCTTATTACTGTGTTTTATTTCACTAGTGACGGTTAAGATGGTAAAGGATGTGACATAGACATGGGCTCATAGAATAAAATAAAATACTCTCCCTAAGTACGGCTTTATTTTTAACTTGGCTATGTGAGGAGACATGACACTTATCGTGGTCCGTGGGGACTGCGTTGCATGTCATTCTCCCTCTCTTCCCCCTCACTTTCTGACAGCTCAGACTTCATTATCCTGCACTGTGTTTTGTATTTGTATTTTACTAGCTAGCAGTTTCTCTGAGTAAACTGTTGAGCAGATGCAAGCAGTATTTTGTTTGCAGACAATATTGGAGGAAAGTTATAAAGACTAAATAACAGAATCCAGTCAAAATAGTTCACCGGGTTGGATGTTCATAACAACAGAGCAGGGGATAATAAATAGCCTTTTTTTTCTAAGCTCTTATTAGCCACTGCTGCTCACTGTTTTCAAAATGTTTAACTTATCACATTGCACATTGGAAAAACATTTGGTGTATTTGAAAATCTATAAACGTATACTTTGACTCAAATATTTAAACAAGCAGACACTAATTTGTGCATTTTGTCTTTGACCTAAAAAAAACAGTTTGAGACTGTGAAATGTGCTTATGGTTATGCGATGTGCACCTACCTATATCTTTACTATTACTATTAATATCTATTTTTTCTATATCATATTGTTTGTATAACATGAACTATTAAACACTTTTTCAAACTGAGTTATTTGTTTTATTGCTCTGTATTTCTACAAAGCTGTAGTGGCTGATGATCAGTTTGCTATTTGAACAATGTAAAAAGCATGTAATGAGAAGGAGCCAGTTTGTAGAATTAAACAAAAAATCACTTTATTTATTCACATTATGCTCATAATGCAGATAGAATACTATTACTGCTAGTCATAATAATGTTAACTATGTTATGACACGCTTACAAATCAAACAACTTGAATACATAGGTAACTTAAATATAATAAAATGAATCAGATAAAGTGTAAACTATACTCCATCAAAATAAAATAGATATTACATCATGCAACATTTTTCAAACTTCATAGAAAGGGCTAAAATTCTAATTTGAGCATGTCAATTCATTATTGATCCTTTGGGAACAGTAGAAAACTGATGTCAAAGGTCAACTTACCAGGGACCCCAAAAGCCAGGTTTACCTCGTATCATTTGGGTCTACATAAATTTTGTTCAAAATTCACACTGCTGCATAGTAACTCTGATGAGTCCTTCATCTTGCCAACTCGTCCTGTAGTTGGCTAATTAACAGGGACATTTCTGTGCACAATGCAACGCCACAAACTACATCCTCAAATGATCACACAATAATCAACACCTCTCTAAAGCAGAATCAATAAAAACTGAATATTATAACCTTCAGGAAGGGATGATTTATTGCAAGACTGTTGTATTTTAGCTTGGTGTACCTATTAAACTGCCAACTGACTTTATATTCACATTTGAGAAGCTGCTACCAGTGACATGTTGGTATTTATGGTTAAAATTAATTTTCTGTCAATTGTGTAATTAATCTGTAGAGCACTGACTGGTTTCTGGGTGCCTGTGTATGGTGGAGGTGTTAGGAGGTTAATCCAGCCATGTCTATAATGTAACAGGCGAGTAACATGGAGGCTGTGGTGCAGACAGAGTGCAGATAACCCTGCACTTGACACGACCATAAACTAACCGGACGCCTTTAACCAAAGATACTGGCTCACTGCCTCCACTGTATTTGTTTTCATTCTGGAGAGCTGACCAATCGCAGTGCAGACTGGGAGGAGACCAGCCCGCCTTCGCGGTAGACACGCCTCTATGTTCAAGGAACACCGCTTCATACATACACTGTTGTTAGCGACGTAGCCACTACGGTCAATTTCATTTTTGACATTTCCATTTGCGACCACTTCTCAGAAGTTCACTTTTTTTTGTCACAGGCGGGTTAATGCACGAGTAGCGACTTAGTGTTTGGGCTCCGTTACGCCGGTGTGTCAAGTTGTTGCTGGTGGCAGTCCTGCGAGGTAAGTTAAAGTTAGCTCGTTAGCCGAAGAGACGCTGTACTGATGGAGGGGGGTTGGTTGTTGTGCTAACGTAGCATTTAGTTAGCTGCTACATAACCTTGCCGAACAAACCAGATGGTGGGCTAACACTGGCTGCATTTTCTGTGAAAGCTTTACATTTGGTGTGTTTTCGCTTTCCAGCAAAATAACAGGATTGTTTTTTAGTAGTAGCTACATTAGCTCGCAGGTTCGGTAAGTTAGTCAAGCTAGCAAGCTAACAGCGGCGACCATGAATTAGCTGGCATGCTAACGCCAAGACTGACCTGACAACATGCATTTTTGTTGTTAGTTTGTTTTTGCTAAATTACATTTCACTGCCTAGGTCGGGGTTGTTGTGAGACAAACATGACTGGCGGAGAAGCTGTTTGTGTGACAGCTTAATTTTTTCTGTCGAACTTCACGCATAACTTGACGTTAATGCGACGTTAACGACATGTAGAAGCTAGTGTTAGCTTCTTGGCTAGCTAGCGTTCTTCCTGACCTGACCAGCCAACACAGCCAGAATTAATTACCGGCTATGTAACTTTATTTAATTTTTCTAATGTAACGGTAGCCCTTATGTTTTAAACTAAGCAGTCGACTCCCTTGTCGCGTTATCAGCTGCGATTAGACATGGCTGTTTTCTTTTCGACATCTACCACTTAACGTCAGTTAGCCAACACGTTCAGCTCAGTACCGTTTACTGAGGACTGTCAGCGGCCACTCTCAGACACAACCCCGCACTCACTGGTTCTTTCTGCCACACCAGCCTTTAGTCTGCGGATAATAAAGGCTAGCTTGCTCGCCACATAACTTCGAGCTAGGACGAAAGCCAGCGTCAGCCATCAGACAAGCGAAAGCGGTCAGCTCACAGAAAAACGGATGGCGTTAAGCTCGGTGTTTGGCAGAGAGGGGGAGGGGATGAGGCAGGGCTACAGCGAGCGAGAGAGACTGCGCCTACACGCCTGGAAAAAGTGTTTGCTGGCGGCTAAATGTCAGGTTTTTTGCGGCGCTACTCGACTAATTTCGCTGTATTTTACTATCTGCAGTGTTTGCTTCGCGTTTCGGCAAAGAATATTTGCAGATGGATATGCGTCAGACACGATCTCTGCGACTGAAGACCGTACGCTCAGCCACCGTGTTTTCCGAAATTGGTGGTGCAGGGCAATGAGGCACAATGTCTGCTCTCCGCTGACCAAATGCAATGACGTTCTCTTAGGGAGCGTCAACAAATTACTTTTCTCTGTATACATGTATGGAGTGTGCTGAGGGCCACATAGACGGAGCCTAAATGTTTATTAGTTATGCCATCACTAAATTATCAATATAAATAGTTCAAATAGATCCACCTCAACCTACAGAATGGGTTATAGACAGACTTAAATATTAGAAGTATTATTATTATTATTATTAATTGTAATAACACATTTTCATTAAACTATTGATATATCAGTCAACATTTTTGCTGCTGACAATGGATCATATCTTATTTTATTTTCTTGTTTCAATCTCATGAATAGCAACTTAATATTTTATCATTTGTTTACATGTAAACATTTTATAAAATATCAACAAAGAGTGTACATTCAATAAAATTAGGAATGTTTAAAAGCACTGCATCAAAACCTATTATAGACATCTCGCAAAATGATATATTAATTGAACACTATGATTATTATTTATCTATTGAGTAAAAAAAAAAAACGGTTAACTATTGCACTTCGTGACAGTACTGTAACTATGGTTGTTACTTGAAAGACGGTCCCTAACTGGCAGCCACAGCCATTCTGCTGAACAACTACAGCACGTCTATTTATGGACAGTCATAGGCGAGCATTTTGTTTGATACCATTCTTTTAGGCTTTTGTTTTGAGGAGCCAAGTTAGTTTTTGCCTGTTTCTCCCTGGTTTCTTAATTATTATTTTTTTTATTCATGAAAATTATTTTTGCTTCATGTTTGTGATTTGTATTTGTGTTTTATTTTGAATTTGATTCTTCATGCCTTTCCAAGTGTAAATATAGTGCAAATTAGAGCTGAATTTTAAATAACTGCATGGATTGAAAAATATTAAAACATCACTGTAGTTGCTGCAGCATTTATTTATCAGGTAAATTGAGATTGATACTATCATTATGTACACAGACTGGACCTGTGATGGTGGGAAAATTTTCACATCAACGTTACATCTGTCAAAACACTAACACTGTCAAATACCAATATTTCAGATTAATAATCATAATTTTTAAATATAACTTTTAATATTTATTATCAGGACAAAGTACCTCTATGACACTCGTGGCAAAGTTTTATTGGGTTGCATTATACTGAATCACCTTTTCTGCTTCCAAAATGACCATAGAGTTGTATTTTATTATTTTAGTGTATATTGACCATTAAAAAAACACTAACATTTCCAATTGCAGTTTAAAGTATTGAAACAAATTTAGCAATCATGTCATAGTTTTCAGTGGAGTACATGAAGAAGAATGCTTGAAACTTTAAACTTTTTTTTAGTTCACAGACTAAGTAACACCTAGCCGCCTGTTAACTACCCATCTGTCTTTGTTCACTTTAGCCCCTTTGAGTATGTGTATACAATGAAGAGGCGTGTGGAGGACCAGGAACCAATATTTGCACCCCAGCAACAGCAATCGCGTCGTCCCCCAGTTCAAGGTATTGCAGAGAGCTTCCAGCACCGGGCCCTCGCCCCGGCCCCGACTGTGATAGAGGCAGCCGCAGACAACATGCAGCCATCCACTGGCATCCAGTATTCTCTCCCCCAGGGCTACCAGGTATGATGGTGTGGTCTTTTACCGACCATTTTAAACTCTTAAAACTTTTACTGTGAGCTGATCGTCTGCCGATTAAAGTGGTTCACCTCAGAGGAGCAGCATCTGAACTGAATGTTAATAAAATGGTAGGGTAATCTTGACTCGTGAATCTTTCAAAGTGCAAGTTTTTAGAAGTTTTTTACTCGGTGTAATTGTAATAATACGTACACAGATTTGTTTAACTCCCAGCAAAGACATTTTCATCTGTTTAGGTTTATGGATCCTAATGTTCTTGTACATTTCTTCCTAAAAAGGTGCCTACAATGCCTCAGAGCACAAGTGGACACGGACACAGCAATACTGCACCACATGTCGGTCCCCACGCACACGGTCTCACAGTGCAGTCGCAGGGCCCTGCAGTGGTCCAAGGTCACGTTCACCCACCCACCCCCATAACTTCAACTCAAGGACAGCAGCAGTTTCAGCGACTGAAGGTAACACCACATGGAGAAACGTTAAAATATACCCACCAAAGTATCTGGGCCGATTGTGATGACATGTAGTTAAATCACCAATGAAACAAACAAAAAAAAAAGTTTATTTCACATAGTAGAAAACAAGACCTTCTTTAACTTGTAGACATTTTTTAGCTTGTTCTGTCTTTTCTAATTCTAAATTCATATTGATGATGAACTCAGCGGTTACAGAAATTCAGATTTTTGGGGATGAGATCCGCTGATAATTTTTCACTCTTTACTTTGCAGGTTGAAGATGCGTTGTCCTATCTGGATCAAGTGAAGCTGCAGTTTGGGAATCAGCCACAAGTTTATAACGATTTTCTTGATATTATGAAAGAGTTCAAGTCACAGAGGTGAGTTGTAATTTTATTGACATTTTTTTCCCGCTGGAGAAAATCCATAAATGGTGTTTGTGTGTGTCAAGTTTTAACATGCTGATAATGAATTAGATGATAAATTAATATCATTCATTCTGTCCCTACAGCATAGACACTCCTGGAGTCATCAACCGTGTGTCCCAGCTCTTCAAGGGTCACCCAGACCTCATCATGGGTTTTAACACTTTCCTGCCCCCTGGATACAAGATCGAGGTTCAAACCAACGATTTAGTCAACGTGACCACGCCGGGCCAGATCCACTACATCACCCCTCATGGTATTTCTGTTCAGAACATCCCTGTAAGTGGAGCATCCAGCCAACCTGCAAGCCATCACCAGCACCAGAGTCTGCCACAGCCTGGCCCACACACTACCACCACCACCACCACCACCACCACCCCACCCATCCCCGCCCAACCTGCTCCGAATAAAACCAGCAAGGTAGAACATCTTCTGTTTTTGCCACTGAATTGAGTAAAGTGAAATAGAGACATTAAATCGTCTTTTTCTCTCGCTCCAGTTTCCTCGACACACGAGTATTATAACATGCTTGTGCACCTCTTTTGTGCTCAACAGCCAATTCAGTCTCCAGCCCATACACCCACAAGCCAGCCCAATCCATCCATCCCATCCTATGCCTCACCGCGCTCACCTTCGGTCCAGTCCCACACTCCAGTGAGCAGCACGCCGTCTGCCGGGCCGCCTCTCCAGAACAACCAGCCCGTGGAGTTCAACCACGCTATAAACTATGTCAACAAGATCAAGAACCGCTTCCAGGGTCAGCCAGACATCTACAAAGCCTTCTTGGAAATCTTGCACACATACCAGGTAAGGAAACGCACACCGATGAGAAATTAATCCAGCATTGTGTCATTTACGGGCTGTTTGTACTCGGCATAAATGTGTGTGTTTTTGTCTGCCAGAGAAAGGAAAATGGGATGCACCCACAGTAATGGTAAAGTGGCAATCTCACCACTTCTTCTTTTATTATAAATTTTCTAGAAGGAACAAAGAAATGCTAAAGAGGCAGGAGGTAACTACACTCCAGCACTGACTGAGCAGGAGGTCTACACTCAGGTGGCAAGGCTCTTCAAGAACCAGGAGGACCTGCTCTCTGAGTTCGGACAGTTCCTGCCCGACGCAAACAGCTCAGTGGTGAGTCTGCGTGAATGCACTCCTGCAGGGTCGCCCATGTTAACTGGACTGGACTGTTTATGGCAAAATGTAAGCAACATTTTTCAGGCTTTGAGAATAAATATATAACAACACATTTGAAACAACCACCTAAACACCCAGCTAGTCATCTGCCTCTTATTCTGTCGGGACACGTTCCCTCTCTTTACATTGAGCTTTTCGCAAAAGTTGACTGTATTTACACACATTTTCTCTTTGACAAGATTATAATAATACCATATGATAATACTTTGTTTTCAGCTGCTGAGCAAGACGGCACCAGACAGGGCAGAGTCAGTGCGCAATGATCACGGCGGGACAGTAAAGAGACCCTTACTGAACAATAAACAAAGACTGAGCCAGAACGGCCTGCCGATCAGAAGACCTGCTGGAGTGGGACCCACACCGCCCGTCAAGGTACACACCACCACTACATGTGTTCCTTATTATAGAAGACATCATCAGTATGCTGCAAAGTGGTATTCCTCTCCGAGTGTTGCCCATTTATATTAATGAGGGTAGACAAATTCAGTTCAGCAGCATCACACAGCATACTGCGTCCTCCAAAGTGACCATAAAGTTGAATCATCACCTCTCTTAAACAGTTCAACTAAAAGCTGAACAGTAGAACCTTCATGAAGGTAGGCTTTATTGCAGGGCTTTTTATTAGGTTGAATTTGTTTTGACTGGGTTTGTCCAGATAAACAGGCTGATGGGATGCGTTTTAAATCCACCCAAACCCTTTTCTTTTAGAACATTTTCCATTTTCAAAATGAAACTAATATTAAAAACTAAGAGAGCCTTGTTTTATCGTGTCTTTTATTACCTTTGCAGAAGAAACCCAAAATAATGGGGAAGGACCATGGCATGACTGAAGCCAGCAAACACAGCACCAGCACTGAAACTATGTTCTTTGAGAAGGTCAGTATTATGTTCAGTAACCGAAGTCCTTGATGTGATGAAATCATCTCCAGGGGAAGTTTGTTCATTTACCTTTTTGTTGTTGTCACAAACAGGTGAAGAAGGCTCTCCGGAGCTCTGAGGCCTATGACAACTTTCTGCGCTGTCTGCACATCTTCAATCAGGAAGTCATTTCTCGTGCTGAGCTGGTCCAGTTAGTCATCCCATTTCTTGGGTAAGTTCAGTCAGTGCCGCGGTTGCACTGCAGATATAACTGAACTGTTCTGTATTGTAGATTAGTTTTTTAATGAAACAAAATGTTGATTTCATATTTATCAACATACATTTACATCACATTTAATACTACTTAAAACGTCAGTGTTATACATCTGCCAGCCACAGGGCTGTAGCCTCATTATTCTTTATTTCACATATATTACACAGAAAATTCCCAGAGCTTTTTACTTGGTTTAAAAACTTCCTGGGCTACCGAGAGTTTAGTCACGGGGAGTCGAGCCATGCAGAGAGTTTACCCAAGGAGCGTGCAACGGAGGGCATCGCCATGGAGATTGACTACGCTTCCTGCAAGAGGCTTGGATCCAGCTATAGAGCACTGCCCAAGAGCTACCAGCAGCCCAAGTGCACAGGAAGGACGCCGCTGTGCAGAGAGGTGAGTCACTGGAGGAAGTCCCGCGTTGAAGATATTTTTGTCGTGATAAGCTATTTATTCCCTCCCACAGGGCAGACAATTACAGGGGTATCAATGTATACGGCTTGGAGAAAACAGACCCAGGAGTCGGACTTGTTGTTGTTGCTGCTGCTTGTAAATTAACATTTACCATGAACCGAAATCCAGTAAAATGTGCTTTTAGTGGATAAATGGATAATAATCAAAATTAAGTAACCGATGTGGCGATTGAAGTAGGCAGGGATGCAACTAAATATTATTTTCATTTTGGATCAGTTTGTTGGTAAAATGCTTTATTGATCATTTAGTCTAAACAAAACACCAATGAAGATGATGATGTGACAGGAAATGATCAGATCCTCACATTTACAAAGAAGCCACAACCACAGAGATGATCCCAATCTTTACCTATTTAATGACTTAAATGATTATTGGTTATCTATTATTGGTATTATCTCATATTACAAACAGTATGTATGTGACGTGCACGCCAAGTTTGGTTCATTGCTGTACGTTGTGCTTGAATGTCAAACTTTTTTTTACGCACTTTAATGTTTGCGCCTTCCGTGGATTCAACGGCGTCGTACATGAGACCTTTCACATTTAATATTTTGCTTAAATGTAAAGTTGAATTGTCCTGTTGCAGGTCCTGAACGACACGTGGGTGTCGTTTCCATCGTGGTCTGAGGATTCTACATTTGTGAGCTCCAAGAAGACTCAGTATGAGGAGCACATTTACAGATGTGAGGATGAGCGCTTTGAGGTGAGGAACACTCAGTCCACTCACTCTCTAGAGTAAAACCCCTAGGTTCTTGTGTGGTTAGAAGAATGTGTGCTGCGCTTCCTCTGTATGACTCACTTTGCCCAGGAGTCTGAAGACCACAGAAAGACTCGGACATCCATGGAAAACCTGGTGACACCACCAGACATAATCAGACATAGTCAAACTCATATATTTCAATGTGATTGCGTCCCATTCAGCTGGATGTTGTGTTGGAAACCAACCTTGCCACGATACGAGTCCTGGAGACGGTGCAGCGGAGGCTTTCACGGATGTCAGCTGAGGAGCAGCTGCGCTTCAAGCTGGACAACACCATGGGTGGCTCCTCAGAGGTCATTCACCGCAAAGCTATCCAGAGGATATATGGAGACAAGGCCCACGACATCATTGACGGGCTCAAGAGGAACCCGGCTGTGTCTGTCCCCATAGTGCTGAAAAGGTAAGTGGTTTATTTCTTGTCTGCCTGTGGTCGGGGCGGAACAGCTGTTCGTATGTTATAAGATTTGGTTTGCACTACTTTGGGTTGTGAATAATTATTTTTTTGTCATGGTTTCAGATTAAAAATGAAGGAGGAGGAGTGGAGAGAAGCTCAGAGAGGATTCAACAAAATCTGGCGGGAGCAGAATGAAAAGTATTACCTGAAGTCACTCGACCACCAAGGCATCAACTTCAAGCAGAATGACACCAAAGTGCTGCGTTCAAAGACCTTGCTCAATGAAATTGAGTTGCTATATGATGATGTAAGTAAAGACGTTCTGTTGATTTGATTTATTTTGCCTTTGTTTTGGTTCTTTAGTTATTGTATAATGTTTTATTTGGGTTGTGAAGCCTGATTCATTTTGTAATGTTATTTGTTTTGTTCAGTGTGACGTAGTGTGTTGAGTTTGATCTTTGTTTTCTCTGCTGGTTATCTGTGTCATTCAAAGTAAGGAAATCATAACGGGTGATTGTGATCGCTGGTTGTTGTAATTGTATTCGACAGCAGTTGAATTTGTTTTTTGAAGCTCATGTTTTCTAGATTTCTTTTGCTCTCACGCTTGATGCCACTCTCTGTTAAGTTCAGCCCAATTTACTCCCGTCTGCTTTTTCTTGTAGCGCCAGGAGCGAGCGTCCGAGGAAACTGCCACACCGCCACCCAGCGGCCCGCACATGACCCTGACCTATGATGACAGCCAGATCCTGGAAGATGCTGCTGCCCTCATCATCCACCATGTCAAAAGACAGGTGGGCATCCAGAAAGAAGACAAGTACAAGATCAAACAGATCATCCACCACTTCATCCCTGACCTGCTGTTTGCACGGCGAGGCGAGCTCTCCGATGTAGAGGAGGAGGAAGAAGAGGAGGAAGAGGACGTGGAGATGGATCAAGACGGCCCCAAGAAGCACAACGGCCTGCCAGGCAGCAGCCCAACGAAGTCCAAGCTCCTCTTCAGCAACACGGCAGCTCAGAAGCTGCGGGGCACAGACGATGCCTATAACCTGTTCTTCGTGAACAACTACTGGTATATCTTCCTTCGTCTTCACCACATCCTCTGTTCTCGTTTACTGCGGATCTACGGGCAAGCGGAGAAGCAGATAGAGGAGGATGCTCGTGAGCGAGAGTGGGAAAGAGAAGTTTTGGGGTTCAAAAGGGAGAAAAATGAAAATCCAGCAATCCAACTGAAGATGAAGGAGCCAAGTAAGAAATCAAGCGACCAGTGATTTAATTTTTATCTTGATGTTTTACTATAAATATTCACTAACTAGTGTTGTCATATTTTGTCATGTCTCACCATACAACTTATCACACCGGCTGTTTTCTGCCTGCAGTGGATGTTGACGTTGAGGACTATTACTCCGTGTTTCTGGAAATGGTGCGCAACCTTCTGGATGGAAACATGGAGCCGGCTCAGTACGAGGATTCCCTGAGGGAAATGTTTACTATCCACGCCTACATTGCCTTCACCATGGACAAACTCATCCAGAGCATCGTCCGGCAGGTCAGCACATTCGAGATTACATCATTTGATTACCTCCCCTGAGGAGGATCTGTTTTCAACCGCGTCTGTCTGTCTGTCTGTCTGTTGGTTGGTTTGTCAGCTGGATTACGCAAAACACACTAAACCGATTTGCATGAACCTCGGTGCAGGGATGGGCCTGTGCCGGGGAACGGCCCAGTAACCTTTCGGTGCCCATCTGGTTAAAGGAATTGTTTTATCACTTTCCTAAACATTGCAAGATTTTCTCAGGAAATAATGTTTGGATCTAGATGTAATAATAAAAAAAGAGAGCTCTTAACTTCAGCACTGTGAGAAGTTCAATTCAGATAAAAATGGATAAAATGGGTTTTTAATTGTCATGTCACAAGTGGAACTGTGAGCAGGAGTTTTAAAATGCAGTCTGACCCTAAACACAAGCAAAAGTGAAATATATATTGTGATATATTGTGATGATGAACGTGTAACCCTGAAGTCACTGAGTTCCCGTTCCTACAGCTCCAGCACCTCGTCACTGATGATGTATGTTCACGTGTGACGGACATGTACCTGAGCGAAAGTGCCAACAAAGCCACGGGAGGCACGTTGTCCACGCAGACATCCAGGGCCACAGCAGAGGGCGTCTACCAGCGCAAGGCCGAGCAGCTTATGTCAGATGAGAACTGCTTCAAGGTAAACACTAACAACATAAACTATTTTTGAACACGTTGTTTACAGACGGTTTCCTGTAACTGCTGGTGTTTTTTTTTTTAATGTAGTTGATGTTCGTGAAGAGCCGAGGATCTGTCAGTCTGGCCATGGAGCTGCTGGACACAGAGGAGGAGAACTCTGATGAGCCAGCAGAGGCAGAGGTGAGACTCCTTCAGGTTTCAGTACAAGACAGACTAGTAGTTTTCATGTCTGGGGGAAGTTTGGATGTTAATCTGTCGGCTTGACTTTTCCAAGATTACACTTTTGGGAGATTCTATGAGGGAACTCGTGATTCGTTGTTAGCCACGATTGAGTGCATTACTGTGGAAGTCTTCATTCTGTCTGACACCTCCCCTTTTATTTTATTGCTTTTATGCTTTTTTATGATGNAAGATTACACTTTTGGGAGATTCTATGAGGGAACTCGTGACCCTCCCCTTTTATTTTATTTCTTTTATTTTGTGTTTCTTTGTGCTTTTTTATGATGTATTCTTTTATATATTTTCTGTGAAAGGTGCTGTATAAATACATTTTTACTTCTGTACTTCCTCTGGTTTTGGTAAATCAGTATTGCTTAGGCATGTGTCGATGTATTGATGAAAGATCAGCACATTGATGTCGGTATAAAACTCTTGGACGGTCTTTATTCCCTCAGGTTTGCAGGAATGGTTAATATTCAATGTGAGGGTAAATGTGCGTGTTAGTGTGTGAAACAGTTGAGTTGCCAGTTAAAAAAGACGTCAGTGGGAGTGA